TTTAAATCACTTGAAATATTTTGTATTCATCAGTAATTGTAACTGATGTTGGATATACCAAGAACAACTAGGTCTCTTTTGTTAGACAAAACAATGGATTTGGCATAACATTTAATTTTCATTTCTTTATACTAACTTGATGAATAATTCGTTTTAAGTAATAGGTTAGTGTCCCCAAAGTATTTACAAACAAGACACATGTACTTGAAGCATCTTTGCTTTTTTCTTAATTTTTAAATGGAAACATATTTACACACATATTTATGAGATACACAACAATAATTTTATGTATGCATAGAATGTGAAATGATAATCAGTGTAATTAGCATTTTTGTCTCCTCACTTACCTGTTCCATGTGTTGGGAACCTTAGGACTATCATAAATTTGTGTTAGACTTTAGTTACTCAAATCATTATATGAAATATACACCTGTACTTCCTGGATTTTTGCTCCACTTTTCACAATAGCTAAGATATGAAACCAACCAAAACCATCAACAGGTAACTAGTTAAGGAGCCAGAAGTTTTGTTGAAATGCTTTACTATTCAAAGGTGCTTCAGAGTCCTTTAAGAACAACATTTGCTAGGTACTTCAAATTTTACCTTAGTAGGATTCCAAGTATTGTCTCCCCATAGTTAATCACTGAGTAGCACTTACAAACATATATATGTGAATATATGTACGTGTGTGCGAGTGCATGCATGCGTGTGTGTGTGTGTGTGTGTGTGTAAGAATTCTTGTGTTTGAGAAGAATTAAATGGACATAACTGCTGGGCACTGCTAGCACACGCCTGAGGCAGAGGCAGGAAGGTCTCTGTGAGTTCGAGGCCAGCCTGGTCTACAGAGCGAGTTGCAGGACAGCCTCCAAAACAATACAGAGAAACCCTGTCTCGAAAAACCAAAACAAAAGTCCATAATTTTTATAGTATAGATCTAAAAAACAGCAAGTGAAATCAATGAATAGACTAAAATAAAAACAGTAATTTCCCTGTTACTAAATATCATTCTTTTAATATTCTTGAACATTAAAAATATAAAAATCAGATTACTGTTCATTCAAAAGTAGGGGCAGGTCATATTTGATTGAGGGACCTTGATTTGTTGATCCTTATTCACCTGGGCTTGTCCAACCTTTTGCCATTGTGACAAGACATTGTCACCCACAAAGCTCATGTTTGAGAACTGTGCAATCCAATCAAAAATCACAAAAGAGCCGGGCAGCGGTGGCACTCGCCTTTAGTCCCAGCACTTAGGAGGCAGAGGCAGACAGGTCCCTGTGAGTTCCAGGACAGCTTGGTCTACAAAACTACACAGAGAAACCGTCTTGAAAAACAAAACAAAACAAAATCTCAGAAAAGAATCTAATAGTGTCTATGTAAGTTTTTGATTTTGTGTTGGGGCTCTCTGTACCTTCATGTGGTCTGTGAGCCATGAGTTGGACAAGTCTGTGAGGAGCCAGAAATCTGTGGATGTCCCTGGGCCCTTCAACTTCCTAAGATCCCAGGCGACATTTTGTATATATACGAGATTTTTCTGTATACAGTTCCTGCTTCTTTCAGCTGACTCTAGGAAAGTCCCAGATGAATCATAAAAATTAGGAGCCATTTTTTTCTGAAGACGTTTCCCTGTTAGGAGGCATTTCTTTAGTGCCTGGTTGTTTCAAGACTCTGTGCAAGTGCCCCAGAAGTCTTAGAAAATTGTATGATAAGAGAAAACACTGCTAGACATTGAAGGCAAATAATTGTCCAGTGATCTTGTTTCTTAAAGTCTGATACCTACACCATTCTTCATGCTTTGCAAGACTCAGAAGGATGAAAATCTACATCTCTGATTGTGAGAGAAAACATCTTCTATTATTTTCAAATATTTAGTGAATGATTTTAGTTTAACTTTAAATATCAGAAGCAATTGAAATGTCTAGACTACACAGAGAAATCAGATTCCAAGAACCTTTTCCTTAGTACTAAGGGATGTGATTGAGTGATAAAATGTGCTTAGCATGTATAAGGTCATGGGTTCCAGCCCCAGCACACACACATACAAATCCCTATCCTTTTTTCTTTAAAATAAGCAATAATTCTCAGATGAGTTCATGTTAGTTTAATTTACATGAAGAGCTGTGATATTCATAGAAGCAGGATTAAGTGGCTTACCTTAGTACAAATGAATGCTCAAGCTTATAGGTTGCTTGACTTAACCCGTGACTGTTAGTTAAAGCTAAGCCATTGAATGTTCAGATTCATAAAATGGAGTAGTTAGCCTGGGGCAGAGGCGGTAGTAAGAAAATAGAAATGCTTATTTGCAAGGAAATAGCAGCTCAGGAGTTCCAGGGCTGCAATTGGAAGAACTTGCTTCTCAATAAAGTGCTATAGAATGAAATTTATACTTAAAGAGGAAATGGTCTTAAAAGCTAATTTTAAAATCTAATGACAACCCAATATATTTTGTGGCTAAATCTTTAAAGAGTACTAAACATCTCCAACAATCATTTTATCTTTTTCTATACACAGATTACAGATTTTTTCATAATGTTAGAAGAAATAACAGACTCTAAGTAGATTAAAATGATTTTTAAAGAAAGAAGTTAAATGGAGAATTTTCCTTAGCCAAAAAAAATTTATAGAGGTTAGAGCCATAAAAAGAAAGCCTTGCTTAGGTAAACACTAGGTTTGGCTTTTAATTGAGCATTAATTAAGTACGTAAGTTATTACTAATTTGTTAGTTTCCTTATTTTTTAAGTCTGGAAGTTCATCCACCCCTCACATTTGTTTCTGTTCAATATATCATAGTTGCAGTTTTTTCAGTTTTTTAAAAAAGCAAAATTAACAAGTAACTTGAATTGTGAGAGTGACGTCAATAATAAAGTTCTATAAAAGTCTGAGAGAACCAGACGTTGGTGCCACACGCCTTTAATCCCAGCACTCAGGAGGCAGAGACAGGCGGATCTCTGTGAGTTCGAGACCAGCCTGGTCTACAGAGCGAGTTCCAGGACAGCCTCCAAAACAATACAAAGAAACCCTGTCTCGAAAAAAAAAGTCTGAGAGAAAACAAACAAGGCTTCTTTCAAAGATTCTTGCTGATTTTGACAAGAGTATGAATCATTGAATTAGTAAGATCTGACTTGTCACGTCTAATTCCTGAAGATGATAAGAACTTTGACAGGTTCCTGAGACTTTTCCATCACAGGACTTAGCTGGACTTAGTGAGCCCAAGGCTATCTCTCCTTAAACCCGAGAGTCCCCCAGACCACCCCATCATCTTTCTTAGCATCTAGTGTGGTCCATCCATGTTTAAATGCTTCCTCCCTTGCCCTAATGAGTTCCGTTCCTTTGAGCTGAATTCTTTCTCTTCATCGTAACAAAGCAGTCAGCTTATTTGATACAATACTTAAGGTGGAATGCTAAAGTGGGAGCACTTCCATCTCAGCCAACTTGACCTTCCGGGTTTCTTCAGGCAACTGTGCTAGTGAAAATTTGAAGTAAGCCTGGAGGATGAGGTAGGGAATTATATATATGGCCCCACCAAACTCCACAGTTTCCTATTCTCCCTGTATATAGAGGAAGTCCTTTGACTGCAATTTAGCATGCATGGGTGCAGTTTTATTTCTCCAGTGAAAGAAATTGAATGCAAGAAAGAACACATGCTCTTAGTAAATTACAGTGAGATACCACCAGTTATTGCCTTATTAAATTGATATTAGAAATATATAAATAATATATATTATTCATCCATTAAACTTAAATTTTATTTTTAAAATATATCTCCAGTTGTATCTACAAGTCATTGAGTAAGTATTCTGTACTCTAAGAAGGACAGGCAAAATATCAATGAAATGATAAACATATTGAAAAGAAAAGATGCATACATGTGTCATGAACTGGAAAAGAACACAGTATAATGATAAATTCCTGATACTAAAAGCAATACTCATACCAATCTTTTTGAATCCGGGAATTTTAAAAAGAAACTGGTAAAAAGCCCTTTGTATTTCTAAGGCTTTTCTTTACTAGTTGTACTCTAAATTTTAGACTGTATATTCCTGTTATCTTTTCTTCCTTAATAGGGACTCTTGTAGCATTAATAGGGTCTTCTTTTGAACTATGAGTATCATCTAGCCCCTAGATAAAGACAAGGCTGGGCAAGTCAGATTCTTTATGAAACAGGACCTGTAGTAAAATAGTAAAATAAAATGACAATGCTATTCTCATTCTGTATAGATAGTAAATTGTTAAAGCATTCACTTTTTCTAAATTACCTTTTTCTTTTTCAAGTCTTCTAAAAATATCAGTGGGACAAGAAGAGAGAGAAGGGCACTACTGGGTGTATGGATGTGTGACAGGACAGGCAGCCTTAAGCCAAGCTAGGAAGAGGAAGAAGATGGGAGGAGAGGGGCTTTCAGGAGTATACAAAGTCCACATTGAAAGGCACAGCTATGTGAGGAACCAAAGGAAATCTTGTGTGTATGTGCTATCATCAATTGGTGGAATTATGGCTTTTTCAAAAATCAGCTTACCAGTAAAGTTCATGCCTATAAATGCTTGTGGTTTTTAAAAGCAACTCCTATATGGGAATTAGGAAAAGACAAAAAATCAAAACACCGTGGTAATTATATTTAGAATACATATATATATATGTATGTATATGTACATATATATGTGTATATATATTTCATTTAACAGCAATTAATGGAAAAGGCCATAAATTTTGAAGAGAGCAATAAGAGGGTATATGGGAGGACTTGGAAGGAGGAAAGAGAAGGGTGAAGTGATATAATTATATAAATAGATAAAAGTTAATAGTTTATAAATTTTAAAATATATAAAATGAAAATACATAATTATATAATGACTATAATAAAGCAATATGATTATATAACATCAAGAACAACAGAAATAGTGAGTTAGGAAATGCTCTAATTCCTTTGAGAATGCCTAGTGTAATAAGTAATAAGAAGGATCTATTTAGCTCCAATACCTCTTTTTGTCTCTTTTGAACACAGGCATCTTTTCCTATGAATCCATCACTTGCAGCTAATCCTGCCATGGCTTTCAATCCCTACATGCCTCATCCTGGGATGGGCCTGGTTCCTGCTGAACTTTTACCGAATACTCCAGTTCTGTTTTCTGGAAACCCACCTCTTGCATTGCCAGGAGTTCCTGCCCCAAAACCAACTCGTACTGATAGACTGGAGGTATTTGTGAATATATAAACGCTTGTAAAATGAATACTAACTTTATGCATAATGTACCTTTTCAGAGCCTAGCTTGTTGAATGTTTTAAATAACTATGTCCAAGTACCTTTTAACATAAGGAGCCTGAGAAAGAATATTAACCATTTTTTAAACTTCAGTTACACCTTTTTCTGAAGTGAATGAATTTTGTTGTGCAGTAGGTCAAACAATGTTTCAAATATACCCAAACAGGAACGAGTGTAGAAAGTCTGAATGAAAATTTTCTTTATACCCATGCTGGAGCTGTATAAAATGGGATAACTTTCTAGAATGGTAAACTGAAAAAAATGAACCTAAACATTCTGCAATTATAGAATGTAAAGCTACATGAATGGAGGTTATAAATGAATTTTATAACATCTCAGCATTTTCTCCATGTTAAGAATGATCTACTTTATAATAAATATCACATTAAACTTAAAGAATTTAAAATAAATTTCAAACATCCTTTGATTTATTGGCACCCTGTAGTTTTCCTTTAATTGCTATTCTTTGTTCACTAGAATAAATAACTGGTTGATTTCTTAGAAAGTCAGCTCCATTGGCAACCAATTTGCCTGCTCATGTATTATAATGGAATCTAAAACTACACGTGACTCAATGTAGCTTACAAATGGACTCATAAAACCATGCGGTGCATTGCTGTATAATAAAGAACCACCCCAGAACTTAAAGAATTAATTACACTTGATAACTTCAGAATTCAAACACATTTTCAGTAATACTTTAAAGTCTTATTATGTTGGTGTAAGGCAAATAGACACTCTTATCTTTGTAGAAAATGTGATTTCCCCCCCCCCTTGGAATAGAAATTGTGTTTTTTATCTTAGGGTTAATATTGGTTTCTATTACCTTTCATATTTTATATCTATTTCCTACATAAATGACAAAATGTATATGTGACTCTCATATCTTCTTGGAAGGTAAATAAAAGCCAGTTACCTTCCAGTCATCATTGGAAATGTATGTGTGTTTTTGTTTTTGTTCCCTTTTTAAGGTTTGCCGTGAATTTCAGCGTGGAAATTGTACCCGTGGGGAGAGTGATTGCCGCTATGCTCACCCTACGGATGTTTCTATGATTGAAGTGTCTGATAATAGTGTGACAATCTGCATGGATTACATTAAAGGCCGATGCTCCCGGGAGAAATGCAAGTACTTTCATCCTCCTCCACACCTGCAAGCCAAACTCAAGGCAGCTCATCACCAGATGAACCACTCAGCTGCTGCTGCAATGGTAAGGGCAGGTTGGGACTGTGGGCTTCGTGTAAGCCTGCTTTGTCTAATATTTTGCATGCATAAAAGACTGGATACTCATGAGTGCATCTTAATATGAATAGTCAAAGTTTAATGCTTGAAAATAGAGAAACAATTTATTCTACTTTATTTGCTAAGACTTTCTAAAGGTAATTATTTAAAAGCTTTATTAATGATTTTAACCCACTATTTGTTCATAATTTTAGAAAAAGGTAAGTTATATGATTTAAACAGTAAATTATGTTGAGTGCCTCTTATAGTGTGACTAGACTGAATATTCAAAAATGGCAGAGTTGCCTGTGTTCTATGAGTCACTTTCATGGCACTTCCTTAGTGCCCTCTGAAAACACCGTGCTTCAGAGATGGGCATTGAGTAGCTTCTAATTTCCCCCAAGGTCTGCTTTGGTTGTGTGCTGCAGACAGAGGGAAGATCAAGGCATGAGCCTGACATATCTTCCAGGAGATTTTGCCATGACTGAGGGAGAATGCCTCTCCTTTGAGTTGCCATAGCACTCAGTGATGGGGAGGAGTTAGTTCTGATTCATAACACTAACAAGTAGAAAAATAATGGTATGGCACTGGGGTGTGAAATGTCAAAGTTACAATTACTCAAGTGTTTCATAACTATGAAAGATTTTGATATGTTACTTGCCATACTCTTTGCTTGTTTGATGTTTGCTACTGAAGATCTTCACTCATATTCCTAGTGGAGGACAAAACTGAATAAACTTCATGTTACCTGTTTAACCCCAAATTCCATAATCGGTATGAAGCAAATTATATGTCCATACATTATTCAAATTGGCATAATAAAGACCTTGTGTTTTCATAAGAGGTCATTCCCTCCCCTCGCCTTTTCTCTCTCCACCCTCTTCCCAACATCTTTATCTGTCTGTTTCTCTCTGTGCTTCCTTTCCTTCCCCTTTCCCTTTTCCTTTCTTTCTTTTGTCTCCTGTGACAAAGTTATACTATGCAATCCAAACTGACTTCAGATTCTGTAGAGGTCGGGCCAGCCTGGAATTCACTCTTTTTTCTGTTTCAATTTTCCATGAGTGATATGTTCCTTTTCAGCCATCCTGCTTTAGAAGGTTGTCCTCATACCTTGATGAAATGTATTTTTTCTGTGACTGGAATTTCATGTTATAAAGTCAGCCACTGTCCTAAGAGGATCTCATGTCCACGCCCTAAGCCCAAATGCCCTATATTTCTTTCAGTTTTTCTCATAATTTGTGATTTCAAGGATGTAGCACCATTGTTGAACTGGATCTACTTTCTTACTACACCTTTTCTTTCAAAACTGACTCATGTGACTCATAAAGGACCTGGGTACAAAGGTAGAGCTCACTTTCTCCTTTGATCTTGACAGCAAGTCTGTTAACGAATATTAATTATATTCTCAAATCGTTTTGGTTTTAATTGCTTCTGAATGATTTTAAGTTATGAAAATAGCAAAGTATCTAGGATATCCCGTGCTGAAGCTAAGCCTTGATTTTATTTTTAAGAGATTTGTGCCAATGTTAACCTCTAACTCCTGATTTCAGGCTAACTTCCTACCTTAGATAGCCAAGTAGCTAGTCCTGTAGGTGTTCTATATTATACCAAGCTAAGCCTTCAACTTCTTAATTACCTAGGTTGGTTGTAAAAGTTCATGCACATGTGCACATATACACTCAGGATATATAAAAAATAAGCAATGTCTTGCTTTTGTGCAATAGTGCACCTGTACCCAAACTTGGGGGGTGAATTTCATATGTATCTATCCACTGATAATTTAAGTTTGTTTGGTAGGGTATTTATATAATGAATTAATCTCAAATTATCTCTGTTTAGACAGCTAAATATTATACAGCATACTCGCAATGGAACATGTGAATATCAACATAAAATCCTTTTCTAACTGATTACAGCAGGGTCTCACTTTAGCAGTGACCTTATGGGTTAGAGTGACCCAAAGGAAATAGTATGATATAAGACTAAATAAAAGAGGATTCCAGGGAGAGGTTTGATCCTTTTGTATTTTTAATCTTTTTTATATTGGCATGTGGATGGTATTTACCTTGTTCATGTGTACAGCTCAGGTTGAGTTTACTGAAGAAGCATTACATGTATTAATTTTTTGTATAGCTCAGCAAGATGGCTCATGTCTGTAATACTAACACTTGGGAAGGCTGAGGCAGAAGGATGATTTTAAGGACAGCCTGAGTTACAGAGTGAACCATTCAAACCTTCCCCCACAAAATGAAAAAAAAAGATTTAGAGGGTTTATTTATTTCTTCCATAGGCTCACACCTCTTTGGCAAATTAGTAAGTTTTTGATGAGTCTATGAAGGCCTGCTGTATCAATAAGAGAAATATTTATAAATAGTATAAGCACCACTGAATCAGAATTAGATACAAATGTAAACAGACAGTACTATCTTACCAGGATCTACCAGCTCAATGTTCTTCTAGGCCTTGCCTCGGTTTTGAGTTTGCTGGGTAGCACAGCTTTGGTTCTAATGTTCACTATTTTCCAGAGAAATGGACAGTTTCAACTTATTCCAAAGGGAAATATTTTAGATAGCCAAATAAGGGGTCTCCTGCCCTGTTCTGGTAAAATCTTCAATGAATCCTTTTCACCTCAATGATTTCTTTTAAAAAGGCATTTCAAATTACTTATAAATAACATTTTACAAATGAGGAACTTTGCAATCTGTTCTTCTCAGAGAAAGGTGGAAATTATACATCTCTAAAGCTCCTTGGTTTATTTCTTTCTGACTTGGACAATCAAAATAATGTATGCATCAAAAGAAAACGTGTATCATTTTAGACTTTTAGTACCTGTGGGTATCAGGAGGTCATGGCATTACTTTTTTGGTTCTTGGAAGGCTCGTTTCTCAGCAGAAGTGTTCCTGTCTCCTTAGGAATTTGGAGCACACCTTAGTGTTGCTGGCATTTGTTGAAATAGCACATAGTTGGCTGAAGGAAAAATTCAAAGTAATGTTGAATGTTTTCAACGACTCTGATCTAGGAGCTACCTTGGATAGTAAAGGCACAGTGAGATCCTGAAAGAACTTTAGCCATAGAAGAAGGGCTTAAAAGTTCTGGTAGGTTTTAGAATTAAACATAGAGCTATTTAGTGAACCAAACGTTCTACACTGAAGTGTGCAGAGAGCGTCTATAAAAGAAAACAGCAAACACATTCCACTTAAATAATACAGGAGTGAGATTGGTGATGGGGGGGATGATTCCCCTGCCTTTTCCTTACAGGTGTGTTTCTAGATAAACACTTGTAAGATTTAAACCTGGAGTCTTGGTCTGAATTAGAGTTTTGTTTTGTAGGACTACAATATCATAATGACAGTGTCTGTTTTATCACCCACATGCCATTTATCCCCTACATCAATGTTGGGACTTTAACAGGCAGAAATCTTTGTTCTCTTCTGCCTGCCATGTCCATTCTCATTTCTGTTGTTTACTAGATGAACACATCTCAGAAGTTAATTGTGTTTGATAACTTGCTGTTGGAGTTTTCTGTCACATCCTGCCTCAAGTACTATAGATTAGGGGCATTAAAAGGCCCTTTCCCTTTATATCTGTTTCATACTAACTTTTTTTGCACTGAAACAGCTCATCTTTGTTGTTGTTTGCCCTGCTGAGTATCCACTACTTATGGAAAATCTTGCTTTGTGGATACCCTTGTGGTCTCTTCCCAGGCTGTATCTTAGATAAATGACACTTTGGTTAGAGCACATTTTTACTTCTCTGGTACTAGTGACTATTTCATCCCTTCTCTATAGGCTCTGCCACCTGGTGCACTTCAACTGATGCCAAAGAGGTCAGCCCTTGAAAAGAACAATGGTGCCACCCCAGTCTTTAATCCCAATGTTTTCCACTGCCAACAGGCTCTAGCTAACATGCAGATTCCGCAGCCGGCATTTATCCCTACAGGTGAGAACACAGCTAGGGGAATCTTGAATTTAGCAGTTTGAATATGTATACTGCATAGCAGCTTCTAAAGGGCTTTTGTTGGAGAATGCTCACCATGCATTTTGACTACAAAGTAAAATAAAGCAATTACATTTGATTTGCTATTATCTAGAATAACATGATTTTGGAAATGAATGGATTGAAATTAAACTAGAAACTGAGTTTTGTCTTTTCTTTGTTTGCTTTTTGCTTCTAAAGGTTGATTCACTTGGTTTTATCTCAACTTGTTACTTGATTTGTAGTCATTATTTCACAGATAGCAGTTACCTGTCAAAAGAATTTCCCAACTTCAATATTGTAAAGTGCTGTAGTTTGTGTAATGATGATATAACAAGATCAATTATTCTTAAAAACCCTTATATTCATAGTAAATTTATAGTAAATGTAAAACAGGTAATTTTAGCCTCTAACTCTTGGAAATTATTATTAGGTGAAAGTAAAGATTTGGAGATGTATGTCTAATAGAGAACTTGTCTAGCATGTTCAAAGCCCTGGACTTAATCTCCAATACTATCAAAAAGTTGTGGAAATTTTTCTTTAAAATTGTGAAGCCTTTAGTAAGTATGGTTCCATTTGCTTTAAAAATCATTTTTGCAAGCCTTAAAATTATATAAACATTCCCAGACACATAGTATTGTATACTCAAACACAGGGAAAATAATACATTGATCAGTTAATTAATAGATTAATTCTCTAAATACAGGCTTGAATCCCAGAGCATACCTTTAAAGGATATTTGTAGTAAACAAAAAAATCTCCGCTTATGAAATTATTTACAATTTATTTTTCTAGAATAAATACATAATTTAAGTGAGATGATTCCTTTAAATAAAAAGCAAAATTCTTTTTTAACCAATGAATTACTTTTTCCCCTGGGTCTGTGGTCTTAAATCTAACCTGTAATTATAAGCATGGGTGATAACTGATTTGCATGTGCTGATTAATTGATATAGCAAAAATGATCTTTCTAGTTAAAATTCACTTCTGTCTGTAAAGCCTTACTAATGAAATCTCTCTTTTCTTTACTTTCCACGCTTTTCTGCATGGTGTACAGGGCCAATACTGTGCATGGCACCCGCTTCAACTTTTGGTAGGTTTTGTACAAAAATTCTCCACTTTCTCTAACCTAAAAACATTTTTCTACTGTGACTATGAAAATATGAGTGACCAAATAATGTAAGTGGACATCTTCTGAGTATTTAAGGTTTAATGTGGTATTTTTTCTTTATAGAATCAAAGTAGACCTATTTCTCAAGTTCTAGTAGGTTGCCACTGTAGCCAAATTTTAACCCTGCCATTTCCATCCTAAATATACCAACTAAAATATTTTTTAAATGTTTTTCTTTCCATAGTGAAAGTAGATGATTTTCTTGGCCTTCTATTATTTTAAAAATACATTTTAAATGTATAATTGGTAAACTACAATGAAACAATCCCCTCCTAAAGTTACCCTTATAGTGTAATACATTCATTATGCAGATATTGAGAAAGGATGAGCTTAAGCAAAGATAGAACATTCTGCTGTGTTCTGTGATGGATTCTTAGATTTTTTTTTTATTTGAGCTTAGCCTTTAGTGGCAGAGCCATCTCTGCAACCCCTGTGACGGATTCTTTAGTGTTCAAGGATGGAGCATCATCTGCCCAGTAGAATCATTTCAAATGTGACTTGGGGTGATGATGTGGTTTTTAAACTACCAGTCACAACCTCTTAGCCTTTTGGCTAAGATCAAGTGAAGTAACCAATCACATACAATTCTTTAGTTAGCCACCACCATGAGATGGTACCCATCCCTAAGCCATTTTGTATTTCACTAATAGAAAAAAAGATAAAGCCACTGGGAGGTCACAGTTCCTATAGTCTTCATGGGAACCAGGAACAGAGCATGTGAAACTAGTTTTGTTTAAAGTAGGGGAGAAGGAACACATATTAGCTTCTCCGATCAACCCAGGTCCTCTCACCTTAGAAAATTTGCAGCAGCTTGATATCTATCCCACTAGTAGACTAAGGTTGTTACAGAGAGATTGAGATAAAAAGTAAAGTCCAAAATGATGACCACATAAAAGCAACTCAAATGCAGCAAGATTTGAACCATGGCAAAGTCAGGAGGCCTGTTATTGAAGGATTAGCTGTCACCATAGGACTTAACATTGCGTTGACACTAACAGGAACATTCTGTGAATATAAGTGGAAGAACAGACACCTGCAACAGTGAAAAATGTTTCTCTCTTTCTTGGGGCTGCTTCCTTGTCCTTTCCCTTTCAGAGCTCTGCTTGTGAATGCAATTGCACGCTTTGGCATTGCTGCGGCCGGGCGTTGGTGGCGCACGCCTTTAATCCCAGCACTCGGGCTGCCCCTGCACAGTTGCTGTACTTCCAGTGAGGAAAACCATGCGTGTTTTTAGAATTAGCATGTGAGACCATGAAAGATGGCTGTAGGAAATAAGTAACCAGAGATGGATCAAAGGAACAACTATGGAGTCTCTGTTAATCACTGTTTGGGGGACAGTCTTGCTTACTTTGGTATGAGTTGCATTTTCCTCCTGGCCATTCACTTTATCAGTAGACTTTCAGAAAATCTGAATTTGACCAAGGTAGACATGATAGATTATTATATATGTATGCTTTCCATTCACACATCACCATTCACATATTAATTCCCTAGTTGACTTTCCAAAATAACTGAAAATTAGAAAAGCATCCCAAAGCTTTGAGAATGAAATAGAAAGTAGCAAAGCAAAAGCAAACATCCTGAAAGAGATTTTGCATCTGCTAGCCATTGTAGCTCTATTATTTGCTGTGAAGACAAGATTCACTGTGGAACAGATTAACTGATTGAGAATAGTTAACATTTCCAAGGGACTTACCAAACTGAATACATAGTCCACTTTATTCTTCATTCCTGCTCTTCTACCACACACTTACCAACAGAACCATCATTCTTTTATATGCAGATCAGGTAAGTACTCCTAAAAGTGCCATTTGTACCAAAAAATCTAGTAACAGACATGTCCGTGAAACCAAACACCAGTTGAAAATTCCCTAATTAATTTTGACAGTTGAATCCAGTGACTTGTCTGCTTACCTAGCTTCAGTAGGTATTCCTGGTAACAGCAGATTTTTTTCATATACATTTATTACAACCCTTCTTGAAAATTCAGGCTTTTGAATCTATTATAGTGTTATTTTGCTCACAATGTTAAGAATGGCTGTTTTCCTTAATAGTAACTATAATTGGCTTTCCCTTTTTCTCTTTTTAAATTTTCCTCCATTCCATGCTGTGTTGCTTTGCACTGACTTTGATTGCATGGTGTATATTCATCACGATGATGTTACATGACTTGTTGCTGCGATATCTACCACGCCTCATTCCATCGTGTCTGTCATGGTTCTGTAAATGCTTCACCCTTCCATGTGTTGCTTCCATGATTTCCTACTGAAAGTGCCCATGATGCACGGTGCTACACCTTCCACTGTGTCTGCAGCAACAACACCTGCCACCAGCGTTCCCTTCGTTCCAACAACTACAGGCAATCAGGTTTGGCCATTTATTTCATCTGTTCAGACCTAGATAACCACAAGGTGTTGAAAAAGCACAGTATATGCCTTTTGGATTGGTGAAAATCCTTAGTCCATATGCTTATGTGTTTCTTAGCCAATCATTAGATTTGTAACATTTATTTGTACGTATAATTGGGGTAGCATATGTGATTTTCTATCTATCTCAGGGGTTATTGGCATGATCTTACTCATTGTTAATTGGTAAGCAGATGCTACTGGTGTCTTTCTATGTCAAAGTATTGCTACCACACCAATCCTCAAATGTATATGCTGTACTGAATATGTCTTAAATGCGTTCTCATCCTGGTGAAGAAAAGTGATTTTACTGCCCTCCTTGTTTTGGTTATTGTGTTTGAACTTTGATTTAGTGAACACATCACCTTTACTTTCAGTTCCACTGGAAAGAAAGCATGCTATCACATTTCTTTCCAAGGGATGCACATCTTTACTATCACCAGTGATTACATCAGATATTCCGTCTCATAAAAACATTGGATGTTCTTGTGTTGTTTTCATTTTCATTTGGTTTAGGTTTTTCAGGCAGAGTCACAGCCAAATGGCCAGTTTTTAGAAAACATTGAAGTTGTGAGGCAATTAGTACAGTAGCTGCTGAATACTGTGATACCTGTTTTGCTTTATCAAAGTGCTCACTTGCCCCCAGGCTGCTGCTTAAATTTCAAGCATGACAGCCAAAAAGCACACAGCATTTATTTGCTGGATAAACCACACTCCATCCTGTGCTCTCCAAAATTGATGCGGTGGAAATAGTGAATATACCTAGTTTTCTGTGAAATTTATTATCATTTTGACATAAGAAACTCAAGCAGTGAACAAAAACGGAATTCTCCTACAAAATCATTTTAATCTAAAATCTTTTTTACTACTATAGATGACCCAATTATCAATAGATGAGCTGAATAGGAGCATGTTTGTTTCACAGATGTAGAAGTTACCAGTAGAACAGTAAGTTTCTTTAAGTATTAATAGATGGTGTTTTTAGGTTGTGTCTTTTGTTTACACAGTTGTGTTTGTTAAGGTTTGAGTAAACATTTTCACTTAAAGGCATTGCTTATAACTTGAATTTGACTGTACATTCAAAAGTTTTGAAACTGGAATGTGAGAGAGGTGATTTTTTTTTATGTGGAGATGACAGCTGTTGCAGTATTTTTCTAATGAGCTCATAGACTCAGTTTTTCTCTTTTCAAAGGGGCAAAAAACTTTTAGCCAAAAGCACAAATCACATTTGAATTTTAATTCTCTAAGCTTTTTTGTTTGTTTTATTTTCAAGACAAGATTTCTCTGTAGCACTGGCCATCCTGGAACTCACTGTGTAGACAAGGCTGGCTCAAACCCAGAGATCTGCCTGCCTCTGTCTCCTGAGTACTGGGATTAAAGGCTTGCCCCACTACACTGGGCTTAATTATTTAAGATTTTTAAACTTTATTTTTTGTTGAAGTAAAAATAAATTTGTCAGAATTTGTCTGATGTGATCATCTCAAAGACAGTCAGTGTTGGTTCTTTCTGACCCAGTGTAGAAAGCTGTGCACTTTCTGCGTGTTGCATCCCATCTAAGTCAAGTAAAATTGCACTAGCTATTTTAAAGTTTGACGTACAATATAATTTGGTAATTCAATAATTATTTTCATTTTTTTCACCCTTAACATTTGACCTCTACTTTGCCTGGTCCAGAAGTCATTAGTAGCACACACTTAGTTCAAGCAGTCATTCACATGGAGCATGTCTGTTGAAGATACTTAGGAATCACGGGTACCTGAACTATAGAGACCTAACAAACGAATCTTCTCAGAATTACATTGTAGTGTAGAAAGCTTGAAGGTCACCCACCTTCAGTGTGTCATTTGGTTGAAGGAGGTAACTGATATGCCCACTGCTGGCCTAGTTCCCTATCTCCCACTAAATAGGTCCTTAGTACTGTTTCAGACAAAGCCCATAGCTATTCTACACTAGGTAAGCATGTCCTCTCAGTCATAGGCATGTTTTAAAAAGATCTGGGGGAACTGAAGGAGCTGGAAGTTAGAATCATTTTTCGCAGGTGTTATTTGGGATAGTAGCAACTTGAGAAAGCCCTAGATGCGAGAGTGGAGGTTTGTGCAGTGCTTGCCCACTTCTGATAGAGGCCACTCTACATCGGGGTGAAGAAAGTCCAAACAATTAATTCACATAAAATATGTCCAGAAGAATGAGTTTTCTTCTACTTGATTCCTTTAAAAAATTATGGAGGGATACCTTGCTCAGAGTTTGAGGATTCCCCATGGGAGGCCTCATCCTCTCTGAAGAGTGGATGGGGGTTGGTGTTGGGAGAGGGAGGAGGGACTGGGATTGGTATGTAAAATAAGATTGTTTTAAAAATAAAAAAGAGACAATAAGACATTTGATATAATAAAATAACTTTCACGTGCAACAGGTGTGAAGATTTTTCTCCAAAGGTCAAAAATGTCATTTTGTATAATAGTAGATGACTTACTCGGGATATTTCTGGAAGGGTATAAGATATTCAGCTAAAAGTGTAAAGCTTTGTTTACTATTGGACCTTTTCAAAGTGATGGATATTAAATACATCTTGGGGGAACATGTATGTTGAATGAGGTGAACTGATGGTTGGATGATGAGCAAAAAGTTTTGACATTGTTAGATAATGCCTTAAATATAGCCGTAATGGGAACCTCGCACACACTGTCCTAGCTATGTGTCTGTTCAGTGATTGTTTGCATTAGCCACACTGTCACAGACACAGAGTCTGAAATTCAGAGTGAGGAATATCTTGCCTCAGTTCATTTATAGAAGTAGAATAAGAACAAGTCTCTGACACCTTGTACGATAACCCTTCACTATTTCTTACTGACTCTCCTCTTTTGTTTTCTATTTCAGTTGAAATTCTGAGCAGCAGAGTTGCAGAGTACCAGAATCTCTCAAGAAGAAACTCCTTATGGCCTTTCTATGTATATTCTCGTATGCCCTCTTCTACCAACACAACAATAAGCATGGTGCAGTCAATATATTAAAGCACATACATAAGTCAAAAAATTCAAATTTAAAATAAAGCATTCCAAAATCTGTGAAGTTGTTAAAGCAAATAGAAAATTGACCTCTGTGTTACCTAGTATGGATTATTAATTGTAAAAGAATTAGCATATAGAATACAACCATACAGCTTTGTCATTGATATGAATTATCAGATTCATATTACTGAATTATCCGTCTGACATGATAATAAAATTTAAGGATTTTTTTTCTAACAGTGATTTATGTTCAATGAACTTCCACAGTGTACTGTAGGCTTACTGTACATTCTTGGTGGATTAAGTCTGTTTTTGAAGTGTTACCTTACTGTTTGTTTACAGGATAGTGTATTGGATTGATGTAGAATGTAACTAATATGTCCAGTACCATTTCCCCCGTTGATATATTGTATTAAATTGGGTTCTGTTTAGCTTTCCCATGCTAGTGTTTTGTTGTTTATACGTGGTGTTTGATTTCAATTAAATGTCATTAGTGGGAACAGAGGTATATGTGATTGAAAAACATGACAGGTTCATCTTAATATGCATTCTTTAAAACATTTCTGTAAGTTTCTTGACATATACATTTAAAAGGCCTCACTTTTGAGTGTACACAAAACCTGTTCATAGAATTTTACATGTAGATCTGACCTTGCATAGTCAATAATATACTCAAATTTTTAAAAGAGAAAAATAATTACTGACATATGATAGCAAAGTTCACATGTTAACCTCAGACCATTCCTTTTAAATAAATTCAAAGTATTCACATTCCAATAAATTTCTGAGCATGTATAAAAAGTATGTAGAGTAGCTGTTACAATTATTGTGTCACAGGAATCCTATTTCTCAGCTTGAGTGTCTAAAATTGAGCTATTTGTCATCTTCAGTTGAGAAACTGGTACTTACTAGTTTAAAGGTATGCTAATCATAGGTTATAAAGTAAGCAGAGAGATGTGGGCGTGGAAGACAGTTTTTATGTACTGGCAGAAAGTGTGTAAAACCTTTGCATTGTAACCTTTTGCACAAATGCCATTTTCTAAATGCAAATGGCTCATGCTCTTTAAACTGTACTTTGAATAATAAGTAAGATACAATCTAGCAAAAGTCAATCCAGGTGAAAGAGAATTGTTTCCAAATGAGGCCTTACCTCCCCAAATGGACAATCTTTTCTATTGATCACAGAAGGAGGCTGAGTACAAGTCTGGAAAAATGGCAGGGATGGGACAGGGAGAGATTTAAAATGACTGATTATGCAAAAGAACTAGGAAAGGTTTCCACAATTGTCTTTCACTTCATTTTAGCCGAGTTTCCAGTTTTCTTCAAGCTGCAGTGAAGTAGCAAGCTTTGACAAGTTTTCCCTGCCCAAACTTTAACATCAGAGTTGGGGGGGAGGGTGTTGGTTTGTCTCAGAACAAAACCTATTTTTTTCTCATTTGAGCTTATATGTCTTTATGTGTGATTCAAAATTATAGTCAGTTTACCATCATGTGGCTAATATAGACTAGCAATATCCCATGGAGGTGTGGTATGAATTCTTCTTACTAATATGCTTGAAATAATCTCACAAATATCAAATAGTAATACATCTATTTCTGTGACATATAATGTACCTTATCTACTTCATGGTTATTAACATTACTATTATTATAACATGGAGGAAACATTTTCCAACAGCTTAAGTAGACTTAATATTTTCTACTCAATATATATTCTCCCATTGGAAAGTATAATATCAAATTTTTGGATGTATAAAGGTTTTTTTACTTCATAAAAATCACAAGAAAAGAGAACATTTGGGATACCTTAAGACAGGTAGTTGGATTGATTTTCAGAACAGTGGAGTTGGCAAAGACTTTATTGCCTTTTCCACGGCTGATAGACACACAGGCCATGTGACTTGCCTAAGGCTGCCTAGCCGTTGTGGGAACCAATTGTTCCTTCTTTTTGCATTTTTCTTTGGAACATTTGAGACTCCAACCCAAAGCAGATCAGATTGGCTCAGAATATAAAAAAGCAAAATTACCTCTAGTGGTTCCTATCCTGTTGATCTTAACTATCCAGGTGAGTCCTGGTCCCCACTGATTTCTAAATAGTCTTGTTTGTATATTGGACCTCTGCCCTTTGTTAACTATTGCCTGAAGTTAGAGATTGAGAGTTGTGTGCCCTTTTACCTGTGGGCTCTTTGAACCAATTAATTTCTGTTTTCTAAAATCATAATTCCATAAAGAATGTATCTGAGCTAATCTAGATGTAGTTCTTAATGGATATGGGAACATTTTGTGCAAAATGAACTTTTTGTAGTTTGACATTTTAGTGCAAAAATACTATCTCATTTAACTTCTTAAACTTTTGAGAAAATAGATGAAACACTTAGAGTAGAGCTGTTCTCATGTTGCTCTAAGCACTGGAAGATACTGACATTGACTTAGTTTTAGGATGAGATTCAGTGAGGAACATTCAGGGTAGTTGTCTTTTTGGTGCAACATGTTTCTATGACATTTTAAAAGTTGCTATGTACGTGAAGTTTAAGAAAGCAAGCTCAAAGCTCAAACATTTCGATCCAATTTTACTGAGTTTTGAGGGAAATGAAACTTTAAGTTGGCACTCTTTAGTTGTGCAATGACAAATGATCTTATTGAAGAAAAAACAAGTCATTCGACTATAAATTGAATTAACAAAACAAGTCACAATGAATCAGTGACTCTAAACAAAAATTTACTAAATCATTTGTAAATAAACTAAATTCTAATCAATTGTGATTCTTAGTTAGCATTTTGTAGTCTTTGCGTTTTATAGTGACCTCTGTTTTTATTTCTCCAAAATTATTGGTTTTGTTCATCTTCTCAGCCTTTTGCCAAAATTTGCAAGAGCACTGAAACTTGAATAAAACGTGTCAAATATACAGATAAGCAATCTAAACATGTCATTTAAGAAGGGCCTAGTAGTTTCAGTTTTTACAAAAAGCACTATGAGACCATAATACTTTAAATAAGGACTAAAATTAAGTTAATTCATAAGATTACTACTTAAATACAGCATTTACTTTTGAAATTGGAGCATGAATCCACACTCAGCTATTGCTTTTGAGTCATTTTTCTAGATTAATTTTTAATCTGCATCTGGTCACGTAAGCAGTCTTCTTCCTGTTCCATCCATCTTGCTCATCCATTTCTGAGCATGTTAAGGCATTTTGATCTTGCCATAAGTGTTGTCCACTAATGGGAGCCCTCGCTCCCCTGCTCTCCAGGAAAAAGCCAGTACCTGCTCTCAGCTATCAGCAGGAACCAAATGAATTAATGTGTTTGGTTTGAATTAGCTTTGACTGGCATGCCGAGTGAGGAAGGAACAGCATCCACACTACATTGTAGGAAATGATGGAGGCTGCTGAGGCAGCTCGTATGCTAGTTGGACTGCCAGTTGTTTCTTTTCCGCGTCTCTGAAGAGCGTTGGTAAGATGACCTCAGGTGGAATACAGCCCAAGTTTGCTGAGACCTGTCAGTCTGTGGGATGCGCTGTGGTATGCAGAATGATTAGTAATTGTAGTTCTCTTTCCCCTTTAAATAAAAGCTCTTCTACATGTCACTTAATGCAAATAAGTAAAATTGGGCGGTTCAATTCCCATCTCTGATTTGTAGATTTAATAAGATAGTGGCCTAATTTTACCAGTGCCTGTCAGAGGTAGTAGAATGAAATAGGCAAAAGAGTTTAATTTTTTTGCAAGTTTAGCAGATAGTCTAATCAAACTGTAAATATAATTACAAATATAGGCTCCAAGTACCAAGTCAATAATTGGTGTCATGTTTTCATTTTTTATTGTTTTTAAGGTTTTTATTGTGCTACATTTTTATATCTAAGTAACTAAGGGATTTAATTTTGAAGAAGAGTTAGAGCAAGTTTAAAATTTTACTACATTTATTCAAACCATTTATTAAAGCTCTAAACTGACACTGTAGCATAACACGGTATAGATTACAGTCCATAACTACACTCTACAATTTACAGTTTAAGAATAAATTTAGCTTTGTATACAAATAATAGTTGTCAGCTAAATATATTTACTTGTTGTTTTGGCAACAAAACTGCAACATGGCTACCTTTAGACATATGTGCATGTAAAACTTATTGGTAAGCGATATGTGGTTCATGACAGTGCAAAAATATAGAAGATACAGCGCAAAACTGATGATGTTTCTGAAGCCCTGAGTTCCATGTGAAAACTGGATTTGTTTCCTCTTGTAGCCTTTTGTTTAAAAAAGTTTATAACACATGGAACTTTATAGTACAAAGAATTAGTTCTGTTGGTAGGGTTGATACAGTATTTTGACACCAGAACAAGCCTGTCATATAAATAAATATATATATATATATTACCTGACTTCTTTTTCATAAATTCATTCAAAATTATCTATTAATGTAGTATCTGTAGCTACAAGAATAATCCTATTTTCTGGAATTATATACAAAAATATGTGAAGATTAAAGCATAGCGCAATGTTTAGAAATTAACTCATATTAGTGACACCACACATAAAGATACTATAGAATGACCCCAAACAGTGTTAAGAAGCATATGCTGCAGTTATCTAACTGTCTCAGTTAGGGTGCGAATGTGTGAGACACACCTTTTTTGCACTTATGTACATAGTCCATGAAAGCAATCCTTGGAGCTTTTTAAAATATAAGAAGTCTGTGGTAATAGCATGTTTGGGAGAATGGTTTCTGTGGGTTTGAGAAAGAAGGGAGTTATTCTTTGCTCTGAGAATTAACAAAAACATAGTGTTGTGGACGCTTGCAAGTTTGCTACAGTTCACCAGAAGCTCAGCCTGCTAACATACACCAGATCCCCCTTAACAGCACTGAGCAAAAGGACAAAGTACTTCTTTTAGTAAGGCTACTACTAGCAGAGGCTATTTGTTTTGTGGGTTAATTCCCACTGCACACACACACACACGACACTCATGCATGTACCACATAATGGATAAGCTTCCCAGCAGAGGTTTTCTGTTTTCAATTGTAAAAAGCAGTAAAAAATACTCTGTCCTTACAAAATAGTTATTTGCACATCTGGTTGAAACAGACTTTATCCTTCATAGTTAATATATACATCAATTAATAGGGATTTAAGTGACAAATTGTTACTGTTTTAACTAAGCAGAAGAAAACCAACCCAAAATTAACATAACATGGAAGTTGGCAGACAATGTCAATCTGTAACCCACTCTGTCAGTTTTCACTCTGCACTTACAGATGGCCAAGGAACTTGATTGGTGTTCCTCCTCAAGGCACTGAGGTTTAGCAATGGTGGAAGTCTGAAAAGTTAAGGAATGGATTACCTTGGCACACTAGGGAAGGACCCGCCCTAGGCTGAAGGTAGTTCTTGTGAAATGCTGCTACCCATACTGCTAACTCTTGGATTAAAAAGAGCTACCGCCATAGCTCAGTGGTAGAGCACTTGCCTAGATGAGTGAGGCCCTGGATTCCATCCCCAGCACTCCAAAAGGGAAACAAAGGAAGAAAACAAGAGAAAGGTAGAAAACAAACCAAAACCAGAAAACAACCCAAGCCTTAGATGTATCCCATAGCTCAGGGCCATTTGGCTAAAAAGTCCTCTTCTTTTTCCCTCAGCTCCTGATCACTTAAGATTCAACCATCCCAAACATCATGACAATCTGAGCAATCATTTTGGCCAATAGAAAATGTAAACAGATATTTACTTTGTAGTTAGGAATGCCCACTTCAGCCTTATTACCCCCACGATTTCACTTTGTCTTTATGTGGACATTCCCTTGTGAATTTGTATTTCATAAAAATATTTTCTCATAAGGTCAACAGAGGAAATTTTATGTGGTACTGGGAATATAGCTCAGGGCTTTGTGTGCTGTGCAAGTACTCTAACAACGTGTCTATTCAGATATGAGTTAAATCCAGAACTAGCAACCATGAATTAGTGTGGATAAGCCTTGAAGCATCACAAAAGATAGCCAATGGATTTATAACATGTGCATGCTCACAGCCACTTGGTCACATACTGAAGCTTAAACATAGAGACTGTATTTAAAGCAGTAAGGCAAGATAGAGAATTAACTATAACAAATGCATATGACTAAAGCCAAAATGACATCAATTGGTATTAATTTATGACTAATTCATAATTTATAGCCCCTCTATCTGCCCTTGCCTATGAGTGATTTACTCACTGACATTAAAAAATCTGAATTATTCCAGAGAAATTTTATGTTTATTACAATTCCTCAATTGTAGTGTACCTAAAATTGAAGAGTGCTTTTGTCTGAAATAAGCTGCCACTCTTTATAGATACTACAAGAATCTTCACTAATACTCTTTTACATCATGTTACTTTTAAAAATACCTCTGTAGCAAGGCCTAAAAGAATTAAGCAAGCTTTTTTATCCCAAACACACAGCCTTAAGACTGTCATAGAACTACATGGTTCCAAAGCTTTATTTCTGTATACAGATGCTATCTGTTAATGACAGAAACCAAACTGTTTTGTTGCTGTGTCTGTGTCTAGCAGTTGAGTGAATGATACGGCCATCCATTTCATTAGATTCTGGGAATAACCTTTTCAAAATAAGTTCCTTTTATTATTATAGCTATTGCTTTAGTTACAAAACTGAGCCATTTGCTCCCAAATTACAATAATTGAAATGAGTCCATTTTTTAAAAAATGAGGTCTCACTCACTATGCTGTGTAACCTAGTCCAGATTCCATGACTTAAATGAATTGATTCTTCCATCTCAGCCTTCCAGGTGGCTTATTTTGTTTAAAATGATGAGCTATGTTACTCCCTTGTCTAATTTTAAAGGAACAATTTATACCTTCATCTAACAATGATCTGGATTATAGAAAGTGGAAGAATTATTTTGGGGAGAAAAATGGCAATTTAAGAATGCTATAATAATGGAGTGGTGGTGGCACAAGCCTTTAATTCCAACACTTGGGAGGCAGAGGCAGGTGGATCTCTGTGAGTTCAAGATCAGCCTGGTCTACACAGAGAGTTCCAGGACAGCCAGGCTACACAGAAAGACCCTGTCTTGAAAAAAAAAAGAATGCTACAGTAAGAAAATTCTTGGCACTGTGCAACAATTAAGCACTTACGAAATGACCAAAATATTTTACAAATAAAAATTGTTCACATAATATTTTGTCCCCAAATGCAGTAATTCATTCCCTCAACTGCAAATGTTTGGACTTTTTCAAGTTACAGTGTTGTATTCCGTGTTTGTGTTTAGAAGTGTGCATTATATAGCACATTTTAGTATGCTACTTTTATGTTTATTTTTTATTCTTTTAATAAAGTTTGCAAATTCCTTTGTTATGTCTTCTTTATGAATTGGTATTCACACAGACATTCAGCCAACAGTTATTCATGGTCTAGTATACCAAACTTGACATTAATAACTCTAATATAAGTTTGTGATTTGACTCAGTGTTATATCCCATACACAGAGAAAGTTTATTTCCAAATGCCTTAAATATTTTGAAATAGGTAGATGATATTCATTATCTTTATATTTTCCCATACAATTGTAGTTAGTAACACAGAAAATTACATTTTAGTAAAAAAAAAAAGAATCCTAGCTTTTATTGTGCCTCAGAAACCCTAAGGCACATTCCCAAGATACACAAGAAGTTTGTGTGTACCAGTTATCCATATTATCCTCCACTTTCAGTATGACATATGAAACCAGTGCTGTTCATGAACGTTCATGCTTGTCAACATGGGAGTAAGTGGTTTCATGAGAATATTTATTAATGTTTCCATTAAAATGTTTTCTGGTATTTTAAACTATTCGTGTCCAATAAGTGACAGAGGGTACTCCTTTTTGTTCTTTAAGAAAGCAAGTATAACCTGATAATATTTTATTCAACCAGATCTCTAAAAGTCTCAGGAACACTAATGGGGGAGAGGAGCTGTGAATCTGTTACCATTCCATAGTTGAGTTGGTAGAAGACAGAGGTAAAGTTTGTATCAAAAGCTGGGGCAGAGTAAGACTGTCTATGACAATGACAAGGACCAAAAGGGAAGTTAGGTCCTTTCTGGTACAAACTGTTATCATGTTCATCTCCTTTACTTTTTGTGCCCTGTTTTAACTAATTCTGATGTGATTGATCTTCACTTTGGCATTTTATAAGAAGCCACCTTTAAACTCTTTGATATGTTCTATGTGCTTCTGTGAGTGACATTCCCAACACTAAGACTGGTTCAGTATACAAACATGTATTACAAGTTTGAGGCCTTATGACTAAAGACGCATACGTATGTAGGCGGTGAACTACGTCACTAGCCAGGGCCACTTTTGGGCATGGCTAGGGGACGTTATGGGGGAAGGCATAAAAGACTGAACAACGGAAGTCTTGGTCTCTTTTTCCGGCTTTCGGCTTCCAGTTCCGCAGCGGAAAACTACTAGGCTTATCTGGGTTACTTGTTTGGTCTCTTGTGAGTAATTTCTACAATAAATACTTAGCTTTAAAAAAAAAACAAGTTTGAGGCCTTATGTCATTTTCTTTGAAATTGCTGAATTGTAGGTTTTATTTCATGCATCTCGTTGTTTCTATTAGCACCTGTAGGCAAAGCCAGATATCAACAAAGTTTGTCTTGGGAACTTTTCACTTTATTCCACAGCATCCTTTTAAACTCCATTTTACTTATCCCTAATCGCCTCTAGTCTTCTAAAAGTCCCATGGTAGTAAGTTAGCAGTCCTACATCTTAAGGCACATCTGGAAGCTTCCCTAATAGAACCTTACTTTTGGGATCCCAGGTTTCAGAGACCTGTTCACAACCGAAATCTAAGAGAAAAAATGACAGTCTATAAGGAATGAAAGTATTTAATGTACTGCCTCTCCTGGAGAGGTTTTGCTTAGAAAAACACAGCTCTTTTGTGGTTCAGTATCAGGCACTTACATGTATAGATAACATCCAGTCCCAGTATTTGGGAGAAGAATTCAAATTTCTATAGGTTAGTAGGAGGTTAGTAGGTTAGTCAGTTGCCACCTAAAAAGGACTAAAAGATGAAAATGCTTGTGTCCTTATAATTGCTAGCAAGCTGCTCAAATAATGACCAAACTAAAATAACCAACTACATAGTGAAACCCTGAAGATTCCAGAGTGCAGAACCTATTAAAGAGAACAGCATTTTAAAAGTATGTTTCACTAGCTCCCTGGCAGTAGGACCACGATACAAACCTGGTACATGAGCTAGCTTGTTGGGGCCCATTCCCTGTTGCGGGATGTCAAGCTCATCCTTAATGCGTGGGAGAGGGACCAGGCCCTGCCCCAACCTATTGTGTCAGACTATGTTGACTCCTCATGAGAGCCCTTACCTGTGAGGAGGAGTGGACTGGAGGTGGGCTGGGGGAAGTGATGGGGGTGGGAGGAGGCAAGGGAGTGGGAGGGAGAACTATAGTTGGAATGTAAAATGAGATAAAAAAATTTGAAACTGGGGGAAAAACACACTATACATCCAAATTCTTCAATATACTGGAGTAAAAAATGGAAGTCACTTAAGGTTTAACTTGGGTTTAAAAAGAAAGTATACCCCTCTGTTTAGTGAAGCCTTTTCCTTGCCAGCTGCTTTGGTTTTTCCCTACCAGTTGCCTGGGCTCTGCTGCGTTGTAGTCCCCAAATAACACACAAGACACTGTATTAATTATGAAACTGTTGGCCTTGCTTGTTTCTTACTGGCTAGCTCTGACTTAAGTATTTACTCCATAATTGTTAATGTAAGTATTTCTCTTACTAGAGAAAAGGGTCCAGACTTCATTCAATAGCTGATGGAAACAGAAGCAGAGATCCACAGCCAAGCACTGAGCAGAACTCCTGGAATCCAGTTGTAGAGAGGGAGGAGTGATGAGCAAAGGGATCAAGACCATGCTGGGGAAACTCACAGAAATAGCTGACCTGAAAAAGGGGGAGCTCATGGACCCCAAACTGAGAGCTGGGAAATCAACATAGTACAGACCCAGACCTCCTGAATGTGGGTGTCAGTTGAGGGGCTTGGGTAATCTATGGAGCCTCTGGCAGTGGAACCAGTATTTATCCCTAGTGCATGAACGGGTTTTTGGAGCCCATTCCCATGGAGGGATACTCTCTCAGCCTAGACACACAAGGGAGGGCCTAGGCCCTGCCCCAAATAATGTGACAGACTTTGAGGAACCCCATGGGAGTCCTTACTCACTCTGAGGAGCAGATGGGGGTGGGATGGAGGACAGGAGGGAGAGGGAACTGGGATTAGTATGTAAAATAAGATTGTTTTATACCAGGTATTGGTGGTTCATGCCTTTAATTCCAGCATTCGGGAGGCAGATGCAGGCTAATCTCTGATTTCGAGGCCAGCCTGGTCTACAAGAGTGAGTTCCAGGGCAGCTTCCAAAGCCACAGAGAAACCCTGTCTTGAAAAACAAACAAAAAAGATTGTTTTTAATTTAAATAAAAAAACTAATTTTAAAAAGAATCATTAGGCATGCCTTTAATCCCAGCACTCGGGAGGCAGAGGCAGGCAGATCTCCGTGAGTTCGGGGCCTGGCTGGACCAACAGCCTCAAAAACAATGCAGAGAAACCCTGTCTTGTAAAAACCAAAAAAAAATCATTAGGATGGGCGTGTGATCCCAGAAAGTCATCAAAACCAATGAGGAAATGGTCAAAGATCATGCTCAACATATAGTGACATTTCACTATTCTGTGTTTCTGATCCCGAGGAAGTGCCATTCTGATTTTAAAATGTGCCATTCTTGGGACAACCAGGTGGTGAGTGCACCTGCCACCAAGCTTGGTAACTTAAGTTTGGAGCTTGGGATTCACATGGTGGAAGCTCTAAAGGACTCTGCAAGTTGTCTTCCGACCTCCACGTGCAATCTGTAGATGTACTCACAGTCACTCACGCTTGTGCTCTCCTGTCTGGCTCTGTCTCCATCCCCTTCCTCTTCTCTGTCTCTTGATCCTACCATTGCTGTCTCTAATATCTGTCCCTTGTCTGTCCCTCCACTCCCTCCCAATAAAATTTTAAAGTAAAAAAAGTGATGTACCACTCCAGATATTGTGAGAATGGCTTTAAAAGAACAGCAAAAACTTTTTGAATGGTAATGGGTTAAAACGCCGTAAGTCATATTAAAAGTTATTATTGTATATGTTTAGTGATGTGTTACTGTCATTCTCCCTTCCGATTTTTCTTCCTTCTGACCCATCCATGTAACTATGGGAGTCATTTTTCCTAAGTTTATCATTTTCATTTACTTCCTTCATTGTATTATATGAGAAAAATCTATTTTAAATAAAAGGAAAAGACAAAACACAAATATATAATCACATATATTATAGATATACAATCAATACACACATATGTATTCACATACACACATACATACACGTGTACAAAACATTGTTTTTTCATTAAAATATTTACATTTTCAAGTGTGAATATATTTTAACATAACAGTATACAATAATATATGTCCATTTTGAGAATTATGAGCATAATGATTTACTACTATATTTTAAATATTAAATCACAATTTTGATGGTAATAATATAACACATCAAAGAAATATTTCTTTTAAAAATATTCCACAGTATCTCAATTCCTATGGAGCAAAGTATACATTGTAACAGTGCAACTTTTTGTTAAATAATGGTTTTAATTTTCTAAATTGGTATATATTCATTATATATAGCGATAGATTTCATAAAGGCAGTATCTTCCAAGTATACCACTACATTGATCATATTGAGTCCCATATCCTCTCCTTTCTCTCATCTCCTGCTGGTTGTTCCCTTCCCTCACTCAGTCATGCTTCTACTTTCATATATTGTTTACAAATAATTTTATGTATACTCATAAAATCTAAAATTCAACTGAGAGGAAATTAAATATTAGTTTAAGTACAGCTTCTTTTTGCATTTTCCTGAAAAAGAGAGAATTTCATTCTTTAACAATTTTTATTCAGCAGGTCATCTAGGCTGATTTCATAACATGTCTATTGTGCAACCATAAACACAGATGTGCAAGTATCGCCATTGACTCTTAACTTAGATTGTTTTAGGTGTAGTCCGAGGAGTGGTATGGCTGGCTCATATGCTAGCTCTATTTGTACTATTTTTGGGCAATTGTATGCTGACTTCCATAGCGACTGGATTAATTTACCATCCAGCTGTGTACGATTGCTTGTCCCCTGCCCACATCCTCACAACAGATGTGCATACATTTTTATATGCTCATGGTTTAACTTTGATAAGCCTTTATGTGTCTAGAAATTTACCCCTTTTTAATTTTCATATTTATCTTTTTGCAGTGTATATGTTTGTGTGCCATG